GCACCACTTTCAGGGAAAACGGTCTTCCCTCATTCTCTCCATATGGTTTTCACAAGAGCTACCTGGTTTTTGCTACGTGGTTTTTACTTAACCCCAATCACCTGCCATAGTCAATTAGCCCAGTAATGGGCACCTGACCTGTGCTGGGGAATCCTATTCCTAGAAGTTTTGTTCTTGGGACCAGGTTCTATTTTTAAACAGGAATGCTTGGGGTAGGGTGCAGAAATCTGCATTTTAGCAGTCTGTAAGGTGATTCTAAAGTCTGAGAACTCTAATCTAGACTATCTTGATTCTTTATTTGGTTGTGCCTATTTCTTCCCTATTTTGAAATGGGAGTTGTACTCAACCAATACTTTCAATTCATGGCTTGGTAGACTGGGGTGGGGGTAGGGGGGAAGCTCAAGTGTCAATAAAAGATACTATATAAATATGAGAATATAAATTTGGTAAAGTTCTGGAATATTTGTATACTCTTTCTGGAACTTATTTCTCCCCGAGCAGAACCAATCTAAATGATGGCAGTCCTCAGTGACCTCAGAGTTAAGAAAAAGTTACAATGTCAATCATGAATATAATCCCAATTTCATTAGGGGGAAAAAAGACAATATCCTTAAATTTAAGTGGGTGATTACCTATGGAATTAGTGCTTTTTCTTCTTTATAATTTACTGTTTCTCTACTTTCCTAAAATAATTTTTCATAACAGAAACCAACAGATGTTATAAAGATACAAACAATATTTTTTTAAATCAAGGAATATCTACAATCAGGAATTGAGAAATGTGTCATGCTTTCAGTAGGCAGTTAATATACACCTCTGTTCAAAAGCAAACTCATGTCAGCATTGTAAGTGAAAAGTATTTTCTCATCTTAAACATTAGACTTCTTACCCTTCCACTTAAAACAGTTTTCTCCTGCTACTGAAAGTAGAAGCATTTCTATGAAACCTTTCCTAAGCTGAAATGGCATAAAGTGAAGAAGCAATTATCTGAGGACACATCTTACTAACAGATACACAAAATAAATCAAGATAAAGCACAGATGCTCACATAGTTCCAAGCTATGGTGGCTTGATGCTGAGATGCTGAGTAGTTCCTGATGAAGGAGCTTCACAGTGTGGGGCACACTGGTCCCTGCAAAATAAACACTGAATGCTATTTTTGCTTTCCCCTTTTTTCATAAAAGCAAAAATACTCTTCAGATTTCTTTTGATTAGTGAAAACAGCTACTAATAGGTCTTTCATAAAAGCAAAGTGGCATACAGTGAACCTTTGAAATGTGGGAGATACCTGCATTTTATAACCATGTTAAGGTCAGCACTTAAATATTTATTTCTGGAAGGTGGGATTGCAGGATCCCAAGGTGAAATGCGTGATCATTTCCCCTTTTATATTTCTTAGTATTTTCAGTTAAGTAAAAAAGTAATGGGTCTATTATTTTTAAAATCAGAAGAAATAAAGCTCTTTTCCCCTTCTTTTAAAAGAGAAAACATTAAAGTTATCCAGTGTAAAGAATTGGTGTGAAATTAGCATGCAGTTAATAGTTTTAACTGAGTTGTATTAGCTAAGGTCCATGAGTGAAATCCGTTCCATCTTCATACTAGTAACCAGAGGGCCATTTAGTCTACTCAGACTTTTATTTAGATCATTCAAATATGTCAGTGGTTGCTAACTTTGGCTTCATGCTCATGTGAACATGATGTTCACTACCTCCCTCCAAGTTAGTTTCACTATCATTTATTATTCTATTTTGTAATTCAAAGCTAAACTCTGATCTCTGATACAGCAAATAATTCACAAGAACCACCATAAACATTTTCCTGTTACAAAGGGTATATAACAAGTTTAAGTAAACTTTTCATTCATTAATTTACAAGTATAATGGCATTTAATTTTAAATGGTTCTTAAAAGTTTTCAGGTTGGCTTGGGAGAAAATTCAAGCAGGAAGGTGTCATTTCTTATGACTCATTAGTGAGACTAATTTTAACATGGAGGACAATAAAAAATTCCAAAAGGGATGTGAGGAACTAATAAAACAATGTACGATTCTTGATTTTTTCTGTTTATCCATAAGAGAAAGATGCACATGATCAACTAAACAAATATTCATATTTGGTTTGAAAAAGGAACTTTCCCTTTAGATACTCTTATGTAATAGTTTTTTGCTTGTTTTATGTATGCTACCTTTTTCTAACTAGATATCAATTCACAGCAAGTTAAAAAGTTCCAGGAAAATAGCAATTTTGAGTAAACTACAAATTTTACCCCCAAATAATCCACATATGAAATAACTAGGGCAGAGAGAATACAACATGATATATTCCAACCTCACAGAGATCAAGTCTGGAGGGCAATATGATTTGGGTTTGTGTTTTTAAAAAATCAACTGAGCTATTTATTATTACCAATTGTAGGCAACTGGTGGGAAGGGGGGGCAGATCTTACCATATACGGAAATTAATAAAACACTTAAAAAAACAAATATAAATTTAATAATAAACATTATGGTCAGGTTGTTTATTAAGGAGGCAACCACACATACAAGTTCGGCTATAGAAGTGTTTTTGCAAATCAAACTTCATGTGATCTAAAAGGACCATGCATAACGTCAAAAATGGACGCCTGTACATTCAATAAAAAGTTAAATATACATAGTCTAGATCATTCTAGCGTTATACAAACATCTGGGGACACATGTATCTAATTTCCTTTCAGAAAAACTTTTTTATAAAAGTGACGTACTGAGATAATAATTTTAAAAACTATCTGACAATTATGAATGGTCCCCAGTATTACAAAATGTGATTTCCAGGGTATGAAAACCAAACAAAGCCAACCCTTCAGAGAGCGTTTTATATTATACAAACAAGTTTTGTAGAAAAATGATCCAGCAAATGCTTGAGTTAAGAATATTTATATTTTTTCCAATTCTTTACACTTTTATTAACACACTTACAAAAAATAACATTCAAACACTGAGAAAATTAAATAACTTTGGAAGCAGAGCTCACAGCTTTCTGCTTACATATAAGTGACAATTCTGGGCTGTTGGCACAAAAAAATAATCAACATTCATAAAACCCTTACTACTATATATCAAACATAAGTTAAAATCATAGGCACTAGTTTATCAAATCCACACTTCATCTGTAAGACTAACCACAGTGAATCCTTAGATTTTTCCCAAACAGAAAAACTGGCAATACACAAAGTCTTTGTAGTAAATAGGCAATTTTTCTCTTTAGGAAACTAAAAGCCAATAGTCTGTGGTAGTACAACAGCAGGTAAAATAATACTTTACCCAACTCAGATCCAAATATGTTTTTAACAAGTGATGAAATATTTTAATTAAAAAAAAATAGACATTTTTTTTCTGATGCAGCCATTTAAAAACAAAGTTAAATAACCTGAATATTCCTTTTGAAACTGATAATCTAACTTAAAAATGTAATGGGTGTTTTGTAATAGGGTTAAAATTCCTTTTAATTAGTAGATTGCAGCATTTTTTTTTCCAATGTTGCACTGAAAACTGAGACCTATTTTCTTTTGTGTATATGTGGTTTCAAAAAGAGACAGTGGCTAGTTCTTTCTTTTACTTACTTAGATTTTTACATGTGATACCCCTCTACCTGAAACAGATGCTTTATCTTCCTCTGAAAAGCAACATTTTTAAGTTCTTCATCATGTGGAATTCTGGCACCATCCTTTCCTGACCCATCCCCATCACCCTCAAATCCATGGATAAAATTTCTTCCTTGCATGAAACACCAAACTACATTAGCACTGGCATTTTGAATCTCTAGCTGTTTGCACTAACTGAATGACTCCCTATGGTCAAGCTAATAAAGACTACCATGGGGTCCATCATGGCAGAACAGGGGTCTTGGTTTTAAAAGTTTTATCATTCTCTCAACCTATCAACCTCAGTGCTATCCTGAATATAAGCTTCCCATTTCTCTCTCAATTTGTTTTGCCAACTTACAGAATGTGTTTGACTAATAGGAAATGAACTTATGTTCAAATATCTAAAATCCTTCAGTGACCCAGCTGCCAATATTTTAGAGCTGTTCAAATTAAATACTTAAAAACAGACTTCACCATGAAAAATGAGAAGCCTGCTGAAGAAGGAAGTTTTAGTCTGGTAATAGTTGAATAAAAACCAAAATAAGTGATTTCCAAGATATACATAAGGGCCATCATAGAGCAAGTGTTTAACAGCTTAGAGTCATATGCAGTAGGTTTCATTTGTTACCAAAAATGCAAAAAATTGATGTCAGGCAGAATCTAAAAGGGGCAGTATTTTCAAAGGATGTTTTGAAACAGTTAAAGTGGATCGACTTAAGTAGGATTCAGCAGGCTATAATTTCCCACCACATAATAGGCTACTGTGTCAATTAATACTAACAATACAACTGTCATTACCAGAGATTTTGTAAGGTAAGTGCATAGATTTCCCTCCCCGGTTTTATTGTATGATTTTGTTCCAGGTTGTAAGCACTGAGGTGGTGTTATTTATATCAAGAATAAACACGCATACTACTTGCTCTTTCCCATTGTGGAAACCTGCTAATAAAAACAAGAACTCTTAGTTCTGTAACAGGTGACAGCATGTGAAGAAGCTGGCTTCAACAGCAAAGGCTATCTTTCCTGAGCCAGGAGCTATAAAGTTTAGAAAGATTGTACAACTGATATTAAGCCCTTTTGGCAATCAAAACAAACACACAGAAGTCCGATGTGTCAATGCAACATGATGAATGCATGCTGTAACACTATCTGGTGGTGGTGATATGTGAGCTACACCCAAAACTTAAGATTAAACAAAATAATTTTTCTAATGAATCTGCAAAAATAACTTATAGGATTCTTCCAAATTTAGGTATCATGTTTTAAATCTCTAGCCCAGGTTTCTTCCCACCCTGCCCCCCTACTATCTCAATCTAGTTTCCTGGAGAACTAGTGAAACACTAGTGAAACATTTTAGATAAGTAGTCAGAATATTAGTTCTCATTAACACAAATATTTATTGATACTATTTATACAGTAAATTAGGTTGAATGTGAAGTTTTGGATAGCTTGAATTCACCAGTTTCTTGTGCACAAAGGTACTCTCTCATTTACAAATGGGCATTTCTCTTTGGCATCCATTAGTTTTTTGCCCAGATATTGGCCTCTGTCAAATATTAAAAAATCAACCTAGTTTCGATTAAACAAAACTAAAAGTGATTCCGTGGAGAGTGATTGTATGATTACCAAACACATCTGATGTTAAATGTCATTAAAGTGCTGCTTGATCATCTCTGTCAGTTTGTGCTAATTAAGACAGAGAGGGCTGGGATTTTATAAATCCCAAGAGTCTTATCTGAACAGTCTGCATATAAAAGTTGTCTCTTAGCCTGGTGAAGGGGTATCCATGAAGCTGTGGACTCTGCATTCTTGTCTTTGCTGGTCAATAACAGCCATCTTTCCAACTGTCATCTTTCATGCTACTGTAGGTTTTAGGAGCTGGCAAGGATCTGAAATAAAGCAATTTATAAAGTGATTTGCAAGTTTTAATGGAACATTACCATTTTATCTTCCATATATATTAATTACTTTGCAGGTGGCATCATGATCCAATGTTCTAGGGCACTGCTGAGATCAAAGCTCTACACAGCTATTAGCGCAACCATCCCACACTCAACATGTCTACAACTTTCAAGTTTCACTGGGCATCAGGTGACTGCACTAACCTCTTTTTTGTTAACATAGCCACTTGAGTCAGAGAAAAGATTGTCTTGTCTTTTCCAACCAAATGGATCACCAAGCTTATTATTTACTTATTTATTTGAGGGGCAAATTAATGAATGTGATATTAGAGGCGTACTGTCACCATCATGAGAGAGGCAGAATGGGACAGTGCTTAAGAGGACTCTGAAGTCAGACATACTTAGAACTGAAGGTCTTACTAGCTGAAGTCTTAGGCAAATTACTTAACCTCATTAAATTTTAATATTCTCCTCTGAAAAATAGGCATAATAACAGTACCTACATGTTTAAAGCTATTGTAAAAACTAAATAAGGTACAGATATGTTATTTAGCATAGTACGTAGCAAAAAGCTGTTATATTCTATTGAATTCAGAAATGTAGTATGTTATCTTAGAATAAAAGAAGTACAGGTAATTCAGTTTCAATGCTTACAGCACAAAAGCACTTTTTTCATGCAAATAAATATTTCAAGTTTAATTATATTTGACACCTAAGTTTACTGATAGTGGTAAGCACATTCCTGAAAGGTAGATGAAGACTACAGATACATGGTTCCAAAGCTGGCTAGGCTCAGAATCACCTGAAGATTAAACAAACAAATTTAAAAACAGCATACCTACAGATTTTGGGCTTCATACCAGATCTACTCTCTGTGGGTAAAACTTAGGCCTCTATATTTACATAAATACCACAGAAGATTCTGAATTGTAGCAAGGTTTGAAAACCACCCTCCTGGATTACATACTCAGACCTGATGGCTAGAAGTTTTATCTTAAATCTCATTCTAGGTTCTATTATGCTTTTAGTATCTTTATTGAATATCAATATATTCAAAATGAACAAACACCACATCCAAATGAAGTGGTTCTAACAATTTTTTCTAGAAGTTCACCAAGATACTTAGTTATGTTAGGCATCTGGGCAAATTTAACCTGTACCACAGTGATATAATACCCCAATGTCCCAAGTGAGAATTTCTTAAGTAAGGAAAGTAATCTTTTATTCAAATTGTACTAAGATGCTAGTGGGAACCCACTAGGACTCTTGATCTTCACTATCAAATGAAGAGATGAGGATAATTCCAGTCTACCCACTTCCCTATGCTCAAGAAGGTCAAAGCAGGGCATTTGCCACTTACCTGCGAACAGGCTGTGCAAGTTTGCTGCGAGGCACTGGTATACCCCCAGCAGAAGGGGCACTGGGTCTGGGCAAGCCACTTCTCATCACAGTTGTCCCTGCAGGTCTGGTTAGAGTAGTGCTGTTCATATTGCTGGGAGGATTTGCTGGGACTGTGTTCTGAACCATGGGAGGCCCAGGTGAGGAGGTGGTTTGCATGAGTTGTGTTGTTTCTTGGCTACCAGGAGAACCAGAGCCATGGTTACTAAATGCTTTTACTGGTTGCCGGAGAGCCAAAGGAGATGGTGCTGCAGGGGAGCGGAATTTGCCTGGAGAAGGTACTGTAGAATGGCAAAGAAAAATCAGTGTTTTCAGTGGAAACCAAGTGCAAGTGAAACCACTGCTTTATGACTGGGCACCAGTACATCTGTATTCATGAAAACTCACTCTACAGAAATGCAAGGAATAAAGAATATTTCTAGGGAGATAGATAGATAGATAGATAGATCGATCGATCACTGGTAGCTCTTAAGTAACCAAGTCCTTACTCAGAGGATTGCAACTATCCTTGACAACAGTGTTTTAACTAGGTCAGCTAGGAATCTACAAAACCAGAAAAGGCAATGCAGCATTCTGTTTTACTGTGGCAACCAACCTGAGCCATATTCTAGAGGTGAAAAAAATGCTGACTACTAGACAGCTGACTGGAATTTGAAACACACTTTCCCCTCAAAGAAACATTCATGTAAACATGTATCAAGTATCTGGAGAGTATACCTCTAAGTCCTGCATCATCCATAGTGTAACTTACAATTTAGAAACTAAGCCTGCTTCTATTGTTGTGCTTTACCAAGTAGGAAAGTTATAAATCTAGTTAGGGGCATATCAAGAGGTATATGAAGTCACAGGATAAAGATGGTACATTTTGCTGGAATGTCAATTCTACTGAGTGGTTATTTAAAATACATGTTGAAACAAATAATGATATATTAAAGAATTAAATGTACAATTTGCATTACTTTTTAAGTCAAAATAAGACTTCAAATAAATTTTATTCTTGTAGTGGTCCCTTAGCATCAGATGTCCTGGGGGACATTCATCCTTTCGTGTTTATCCTATTTGGAAAAATCATCTCTGGAAGGTTTCTTCAAATGCCCATGAATGGCTATATACAATATAAAACATATTACTTTATCATGCTTTACCTAGCAAAGAACTCTGGGGTGAGGTTCAGAGTGAACTGGGCGGGGGGCGAGGAAGGGAGGAGAGTGCAGGGGAGAAATGCATCAGTCCCCATATTCTCTCTCAACCTCCATTAGTTTGCCAAGGATATGAGTAGAGGAAAGTTTGACTGTGTGTCAGAATCCGAAGAAACTTTAAAAAATGGTTGGTGGGGTGCGGGGGGAGCCCAGGCACCTCCCCTAGAAAATCTAGTTTGGAATGGAAATCAAGATATTTATTTTAAAACCACCATAGGCACTTCCAACCATGCTGACAAAAACAGGACAGGGCTTACCCAGTTAAGATACATAAGAACAGTTTTCAAATATTGGACAACAGGCAGTATGGGACTGTAATCCCTGAGAGAGGGAAAATAAATGTGGTGAGCTCTACTGGCACCCTGGCTTTTTTTTGGGGGGGGGGGGCTTGAATTATAGCGTGAGGAGGAGGATCCAGAGTAGATCAAAGTTATCTTGCTGACTTGAGAAGACTAAACTTGGAATCTGAGGGGAAGATTACCTTAGAGGAGGGAGGTGCTCCAGAAGACCTATATAACTCAGCTTAGAGGTCTGCTTGAACCTTTGCTAGAATACTGAGCTGTGCATGCACCAAGTGAAGCTCCATGACACTGGGCAAAGGAGGCCTGGAGCACTGTAAACTGAACAGCTTCCAAAGCTCATACAGGACTGGGAAACATCTGAGTTTCAACCAATTAGATCAAAGAATCCTTGTCAAACACCCAGGGCAATCAGGGGACACTCCAAAAGGAATAAACTACTTCTAGAATAAAGCTACCCCAAATCCACTCAAACAAAACTTAAAAACAAGCCACTAAAGCAGGGGTCAGCAAGCTACTACCATGGGAAAGTAAAACGCTTTTTAAAAAAAAAATTTATTAAAATATGGCAACACTCATGTGTTTCTATATTGTCTATGGCTGCTTTCCAGCTACAAGAGTAGATGAAAATTTACAACAGAGACCATATCACCCACAATCCTAAAATATTTACTATTGGGCCCTTTAAGAAAACGTTTGCTGATCCCTGCTATAAAGGATTAAACTAACCCATAAAAAACTTACCTGTTTACCACAACGACATCTACACGATTTAAAAGAAGGTAACAAAATCCAGCACAGAACATAAAACTTCACAATGTCCACTAACCAATAAAAAATTAGTAGACATATAAAGAAATAGTAAAATGATAACCAAAACTAGGATAAAAATTAGTCAAGAGAAACAGATTAAGAAGTCACAGGAATGACTGAATTACCACGCAAGGACTTTAAAAAGAACTATTGTACATATGCTTAAGGATATTAAAAAACATATATAAATATGAGGTAATAAAAGATCTTTTAAAGAGCTAGATAGAACTTTAAAAAAAACATTTTTTCTATTATTATTGTTATTATTATTAGCCATGGCTTAAAGCTTGCAGGATCTTAGTTCCCGAACAGGGATCGAACCTGGGCCCCCTGCAGTGGAAGCACAGAGTCCTAACCACTGGACCGCCAGGGAATTCCCAATAGAACTTTTAAAGATGAAAAACTTATAATATATTCCAAGTGCTAAGTTCACTGGATGGGAATTAATAACAATTTAGATGTTGCAGAAGAAGAGGTAGCTGAAGACAACAATAAGAATTATCTAAACTAAAGCATACAGAGAATAAAAAGACTCAAAAAAGAAATGAAAAAGACTCAAAAAAGAAATGATAAAGCCTTAGTGATCTACACGTCAAAATCATGTGGTCTAATACATGCAACTGGAGTCCCAGATGAAAGGGGTTATAAGTGGGACAGAAAAGGTTTGAAGAATGGCTGAAAATCTTCCAAATTTGATGAAAACTATAAACTCAAGTATCTAAGTAGTTTAAAAAACAAACTTTTTTTTTTTTTGACACAGACCTACTAAAGAATGGACTTGAGGATATGGGGAGGTGGAAGGGGTAAGCTGTGACAAAGCAAGAGAGAGGCATGGACATATATACACTACCAAACGTAAAACAGATAGCTAGTGGGAAGCAGCCGCATAGCACAGGGAGATCAGCTCAGAGCTTTGTGACCACGTAGAGGGGTGGGATAGGGAGGTTGGGAGGGAGGGAGACGCAAGAGGGAAGAGATATGGGAACATATGTATATGTATAACTGATTTACTTTGTTATAAAGCAGAAACTAACACACCATTGTAAAGCAATTATACTCTAATAAAGATGTAAAAAAAAAAAAAAACTCAGACTTCGATCTAGAGTTCTATATCCAGCAAAATTATCATTCAAAACTAACATCAAAGTAAAGACTTTTAAAGACAAACAAAATCTGAGAATATTTGTTGCCAGCAAGTCTTTCACTAACAGAAATGCTAAAGGAAGTTCTTCAGGCAGAAGCAAAATGATACCAAATGGCAACCCTGATCTGCATAAAGCAATAAACAGTGCCAGGAATGGTAAATATTTTGGGAAACACAAAAGATCTTTAATAAATCATTTTTAATTTCACTAAAAGATAACTGTAAAATAAAACTAACAAACACATTCTCTGTGATTTAATATAATATATATAAAGAGAGTAAAAGTAAATGATAAACGTAGCACAAAAAATGGGAAGAAATGGAAATATACTGTTCTGAGGTTCTTACATTATAAGTGAAGTGGTATATTACTTGAAGATAACTGTAATAAGTTAAATATGTACACTGTACACTCTAAAGCAACCACTTAATAAAAAGCAAAAAAAAAAAAAAAAGAGATAGAAAGTAAGCCAACCATGAAAATAAAATGTAATATAAAAAAGTACACAGATATTCCAAAAGACTGAAAGCAAAGGAGAAAAGGAACAAAAATCTGAAGAGACAAAGAGAAAACAAGTTGTGAGACAGATTTTAAACCAACCATATTAATAACTGCATTAAACGTGAACAGTGATCACTCCAATTAAAAGGTAAATATTGGGCTACCCTGGTGGTGCAGTGGTTGAGAATCTGCCTGCTAATGCAGGGGACACGGGTTTGAGCCCTGGTCTGGGAGGATCCCATATGTCACGGAGCAACTAGGCCTGTGAGCCACAACTACCAAGCCTGCGCGTCTGGAGCCCGTGCTCTGCAACAAGAGAGGCCGCGATAGTCAGTGGCCCGCGCACCGCGATGAAGAGTGGTCCCTGCTTGCCACAACTAGAGAAAGCCCTCGCACAGAAACGAAGACCCAACACAGCAAAAATAAATAAATAAATTACTAAATTCCTACCCCCAACATCTTCTTTAAAAAAAAAAAAAAAGGTAAATATTGCCAGTATGGACAAAAAAGCAAGAGCAACATGCTATTTAAAAGAAACACATTTTAGATATAAAGACACAGGTTAAAAGTAAAAGGACAGAAAAAGTTTTACCTTATACAAAACCGATTATGAAAAAGATGGAGTGTTTATAATAATATCAGAAAGCAATTACCATCAGAGATAGAGTTCATAAAGATAAAAGGGGTTGATTCAGCAAGAGGACATAAGAATACTAGTTATGTATACCCAAAAACAAATATACAAAACACATGAAACAGACATAACTGAAAGGAACTAAAAAAGTCCAGAATTAGTTAGATATTTCAACACTCCTTGAAACAAATAGGTAGAAAATCAGAAAGGACAAAGACATGACCAACACCATCAATCAAGCTGACCTGACATTTATAGAACACTCCATTCAAATGGACACAGCTCAAATGTCCATCAGCAGGTGAATAGGTAAACAAATTGTGGTATATCCATACAACAGAATACCACTCAGCAACAAAGAGGAGAAAACTGCTGATACAACAAGGATCATTCTCAAAAATTAGGCAAATCTAACTTATGGTAACTAAGCACAAATCAGATATTTGTCTGCAGCTGGGAGAACTGACTGGGAGGAAGTACAAAAAAAACTTTGGGGGATGATGTAAATGTTCGATAACTTTACTGGGCTGGCTGCATGAATGTATACTCTTGTAATTAAAATTGTGCATTTAAAATTCCACCTGAGTAAAGCTGATTAAAAAAAAAACTCCAGGACTTCCCTTGTGGTCTAGTGGTTAAGACTCCGCGCTTCCCCACGCTTCCACTGCAGTGGGTGCAGGTTCAATCCCT